TAGGGAGAAAGATCTGAGGCAAAGAACTAGCTAACTCTACATCCCCCTAACCTGCAAACTGTAGGAAACTAAAACGAACACCTCAGATACCCGTGTATGCACCCATCATTGTGACCATATTTCCCATCTGATAACATTTTATAATGATGTGTTAGTGCAGCAGGGTTAAAATAATCGACCCGCTGCACTTCTATCCTTGCTGCAATTATTTCTGGGGCAGACGCTGTCCTGCAGGACTCCTATCCCCGCCGCGGGGAAAATGCAATAGAGACGGATCGGATGGACCTGGGGGGGAGAGAGGGTGGAGGGGCAGCTGTAGGCGAGTCCTCGCCCCATGGAAGAAGGGAAGCGTTGCTATAAACTGGGAGTCTTTATAGCTGTTCGGCTGGAGGAAGTTTTTGGCTGTAAAGTGTCATGCACTGCAGCTCTCGGTGAAAAGGCTCTGCAAGCGGGGAGGTTTTTCTTCTGAGAGCCAAAGTGCAATTAAGATCAGAAAGGAGAAGCAGGGAAGAGGGAGAAAATACAAATTTGAGAAGGGGGCACATACGGCAGCTCAGGGGAAATCATGGGATCCCCTGTTCCTTCCAGAGCTCTCCCACAGCAGGCACTTGGAAGAGGCAAGGAGTGTTTGGGTTTTTTTGTTTGGTTGGTTGGGGTTTTTTGCTTTTTTTGGGGGGGGGTGGGGGTTGGTTTTTTGTGATCTCTTGTATTGGACCAACCATATAGTTGGGAGAGATGTTGGACAAACGTTCGGATATCAAGTGCCCTTCCTCAGGGTTTGTTTGTGGGGTTTTTTAATGCCTCCCCCCTTGCTAATCTTTTTTTTTTTAACTGAAATCCGGGAAGATGTGTTTGAAAACTGTCAGCTGCCTCTTGGGATAGTCATTAGTTCTTTGGAGTTAGTGGGGAGCCACTCACTAAAAGCAAAGATGATAAAAATGAAACACACAAAATAATAGATAGATAGATAGATAGATAGATCCCATTTCTATATTTATATATCTACAGAAACGGGTTCGTTCTATCTATCTATCTATCTATCTATCTATCTATCTATCTATCTATCTATCTCTTTTCCCTTTGAATAAAGCCGTGACTTCTCGTGAAACTAAACGCACCGGGGAAAAATAAGGGAGAAAGCCTTTATGTTGTCAATGGTTTTTCAGCTTTCCTCGCCTGTACCGCGCTTCTTTAAAATGCCTATATACAAATAAAGTGAACAATTCGCCGCCTTAGCAATCATTTAACTCTGGATACCCAGTGGCAACGCTCTTTTTAAAAACGTTTTAATAGCTGATCAGTACCAGTCCACCACCAGCACAGACTCGTCCCTTCCATCCCGCAGGACTCTTTGTTACTTGCTTGTCCTTAAAAATACTCATTTGTAGGTGAACCCGAGCCGGGAAGGAAGTTTCTCCTGCGCTGGACCTCTGGATTTAAAATGAGGCTGTGCGTGGGGAGCAGGCTCGAAAGGAGATCCCCTGCTTCTGGGACAGTGTTAAAGCTATGCTAGGATTCAGGGGTCTGTGGCGTTGCAATAAGATCCTGCGAGTCTCCGCGTTTGGAAACCGGCTCTTCCCGGTTGGACGTGGACGGCAGCTGTGTAGAAATGCCCCGAGTCTGAGTGCCCTTGCTTTTTGCCTGTGGGGGGTAGGGGGAGGTCTGCTTTCTGTGGAGCATCTCAAGTAAAAGGAGCAGGTGAGGATCCTGGCGGTGGAAGGACCGGGGAGAAGGATGCCTGGGTGCCTCCTCTCGGGAAAACCCGGGGGAGAGACCATCGCTCCCATCAAAAGTGGTCCAGATGCGCTCCGGCGGGGCTGCATCCCCGAGGGTGTTTAAATCACCGGCACGTAGCAAAGGCGCTGTGGGGCAAGGTCTTTAGTCTATTTCCGTCTAAGGAAGAAAAAGTTTGCTCTCCAGTGAGAAACCAAACGAAGCAACAAACACATCACCTCCCCCGGCTCCCAAAGAGATGGGTACTGGAAGAGACTCTCTCTCCTTGTGCCTTGCTAGACGGGGCTTGATTTCCAAGACCGGAGCATCTGATGCGGCTGAAAAGTGCCTGGGGTGGCCCCCTCCGCTCTGCTGGCCAGGTGTGCGCCCGCCGGATGTGCGCCTAAAAGTGGGCAATCATATTGCACGTGGGCAATATTATCTCCTTGGGAAGAGACGTCTCCGGGCTCAGCACCCACCTCAACTTGCTGCTTCCCACACACTGCCATTGGCACAGAAACTTTTCTTAGCAAAGGAAACCTTCGCAAACACTCACGGAACCATAATAATGGTTGAAACGACAAATTCCCTATTTTATTTTATTTTGGTGAAATCTGTATTTTTTGGCACTGCTTTGCTTCCCCCCACCTCACCCCCCTTTTTACTCCTGTTTAAAGAGATTGTTATTGTTTAAAGAGACCCCATTGAACTATTTCCTGCTCATTGTCACCTCTCTCCCCCTCACCCTCCACCCAGAGATTCTCACAGAAAGGTAATAAACTGTCCCCTCACACCACAGACCGCTCCTAAGCAGTCAAATAGCTCCTGAGCAGTCAAACCATTAAAAGCATTAGGAGACCAGTATGCTTCAAACATCTCCCTTCCCTCCCTCTGGGCCACAGAAACTCTGAGGACACAGCATTTTCGCTTCAAGTCCTTTTCCCAGCAGCATTTCCCTCTGGTTATAAGGGAGATCGAGTCTGACATTGTGGAGCCAGGTGGAAGAAACTCTTCCCTTCTGCCTCTTCACTAGGCTGGACTAGATCAGCCTTTCTCAACCCATAGGTCCCGACCCAAAAGTGGGTGGCAAGAATATAGGAAAGGGTTGGGGACACGCTTTAAAAAAAGGAGCAACAAACTTTCAAACTGGATTCTCTTTTACAGGAGAAAAACATGGGGAACCGGGGGTTTTCCCTTGCAGGCTGGCAGTGTTGCCACCTGCAAGGGGCTGCTTGCCCCCTGTCAGGCCCCACACACTGGGAGGCTGGGGCTGAGGGCAGGGGGAAGCAGGCGGGGAGTGAGGGGCACTGGGTTGGGACAGGCCATTGATGTTTACAAAAAAAGATTGAGAACCACTGGACTAGATGACTTGAGGTCCCTTCCCTCCCAACCCTAATTTTCTATGGTTAAGCTTTGAGACAATGCTGGCTCTGAAACCGGGTCTCTTTGTCATACTTATGCGCAGCCTGGTTTAGCCATCACCGGCAGAACTCAGCCCTTCCAAAGGCGGTGGGTTTATAGGGGGTTAACCTGCAGGCTGTGGGAAGGCAAGAGTTTAATGAGATGGTCTAAAGAAGCAGTAGCTGAATAGATTGTATTTCCTAGAAACTCTTTGTGGTCGGTTCATAGCATCATAGAAAATGAGGGCTGGAAGGGACCTCATGAGGTCACCGAGTCCAGTGTTTCTCAACCTGTGGGTCGCAAGAATATATGAAAGGGTTGAGAACAAGCACGGAAAAATGTGGATGTCACTTGGGAGTAATGCAGGGCCACATGATGATATTGTCGTTAAAGTTTTCCTGTTGATACTGATTTCTGTCTTTAAAATTAAGACTGCTGAGCTGCTTTGACTTGTGATTTTAACTTGGGGTCAAAATACTTGTGTGTTTTCTACTCTAATGATGTACTGGGTAAGGACTAGCCATCCATGTTTCCAAATGGTACCAAAAAGGTTGAGAACCACTGATATAGTCCGACCCCCTGCTCCAGGCAGGACCAGTGCAACTAGATCAGAGTCCTAGAAAATGGGGGTTGGAAGGGACCTAAGGAGGGATCTAGAGCAGTGGTTCTCAGACTTTTTTGTACCAGGACCCATTTTTTAAACATGGGTGGGCAGTCCCCAGCCAGTGCCCCTCACTCCTGACCTGCTGCCCCCAGGCCCCAGCCCCGCAGTGTGTGTGGGGCAGGTGGTGGGTGTGTGGAGCCTGGGCGGGGTGGACAAGCAGCCCCTCACAGGTTGCAACTCTGCTAGCCTGCAAGGGAAAAGCCCCGGTTTCCCACGTTTTTCTCCTTTAAAGGAGACTCCATTAGAAAGACAACATTTGAATTTACACTCTGGCTCCTGAAGAACCCTACGGGGCACGGATCACTAGAGTCTCAGCCCCTCTGTAAACATCATGCTTAAAGGTTTGCAGGGTTGGGACCCGAGTTGTTTCTAGATTACATTGATGTGGCAGTGATGCACAAGGCTGCTGGCGGCTATCACATTGCAGTGTGCGTTGTACCCCATGGAAGAGGTGAGTTTATGAAGGACTTTTTCAAGTTTGTTCCCGAGCCTTTCCTGTAGTCTTGCCACCCACTTTTGGGTCGCGACCCACAGGTTGAGAACCACTGATCCAGTCCCACCCAAGCAGTACCAGCCCCAAGTACATCATCCCAGCCAAAGCTCTGTCAAGCCGGGTCTTCAAAACCTCCAGGGATGAAGGTGCCACCGTCTCTCTGGGTAACCTGTCCCAGTGCTGCCATCCTCCTACTGGGAGAGTTTTTCCTAATATCCAATTTAAACCTCCCTTGCTGCAACTAGATCATCCCAGGCAAGGCTTTATCTACCCAGGGCTTAACCCCCACGCCCAAGGATGGAGCCTCCACAGCCACTCTCCCAGCGCTTCCCTCCCTTCCTGGCGCGCGTTTCTCCTCATACCCAACCGCACCCTCCCTGGCTGCAGCTTGGGGCCATTCCCTCACGGGGCGTTTGTGCTTGTTAGGGGTCTTTGCCCACTTCCCTGCGGCGGGAGGGTCTCCCTGCCAGGCCTGGCGTGTGCAAGGCAGCCGGGGGCGTGAAGGGGCCAAGGGGCTGCGGCCGAGATGGGCCATTTCCCCGCGGCCCCGGCGGCTTTGATGGAGGTGCAAACATTTGGGAGCCGATTTGCATAAAATAGCCGCGCTCCCCCCACCCCCCCATGAACATCACAGGTTGCCCCGGGGCACCAATGGCGCGG